CATATTCATCTCCTTTCATTTGGCCCCACTCCTGATTTTGTAAATATGATTTCTTCAGCCCCCTTTTTTTTTTTTCTCTTTCCAAAAGCAATCTTCATTCACCGGTGAGACACTTTTGAAATTCCTCTATCTGAGAGCAGAAACCATTACCATACACAGGTTTATAAGAAGTAGTCATTAATGCTCTTTTATGGTGGCCCTTTAGTGCCAAAAAGGAAGCTTTTAATTCTAAGGCACGGCAGCCTGGCTTGCCTTCCTTAATCCGGGGGACTGGGTTTTGTCGGAGTGGTCCTTTTTCCATCTCCGACTCCAAACTGCCTGCTTGAGGCTGAAGGCTGTAATAAAGTGCTGTGACAACCAGATCAAATTACAGTACACACACCCAAGAACAAATAAACATACAATCATAATCAAAGATTCTTAAATGTACGGTTTGCCTTGCAGACATTTATCTGATTAAGTCATCTCAAACTTCTTTGTTCTCCATTATCCACATTACATTTATCATTTTCAAATGTTTTAAGCACCAGTTTTTAGTCAGCACATATGTGGCATTTTGATTTATTAAGCAATCTGAAGTATTAAATATGCGAGCCCCTTGCCCTTGCCCAGTAACTTCTTTATTTTGTATGCATAGTAACTTATGGCAATGATGAATTAATTTCACTCAAGCACAGAATCTGTGATTATTTTAAATGGTAACCATATCTCGACTTGATCAGGGAGCTGTGAGGAGTCAGCAGACTGTGAAATGTAATTTCTATTATTATTTTTTTTGTTTTTGATCCTCACAAACCCAAATAATTTTACGCCAGCCACCTGAAACGTGAGCTCTTAATGAACGGGCGTGTGGGATCACAGATTTACGGGTCACTTTCCCCCCCCCCCTCTTTTGTGTCATCCTAATGAAAATATTTTTTGCAACTCATGCATAAAAAATGAGGGGATGGATCAGTGTTCCTGATAGAGACACAGTGCAGAACATCTTCACACTGAAAATGGATAGGCCCTGAAAGAGTGTCAAGCCTGGTGTGTGTTAACAACGTTACAGTGTGTGTGTGTGTGTGTTAAATTCCCCAGCGTTCCCAAGACAGTGTTGGGAGCCCAGCAGACGGCTGTGTATTCCCACTAGATGGATGGCCAGTGTCATAGTGTGTGTTTACCGCACATGATAGAGCGGGAGACAGGCCAGGTAATGAGGCTACATTAAGGGCTTTTAGAGCTCGCAAACAAAGATGGAGGGCTGCTTCTTTCCCCTTTAATGATAGGTGTGTGTGCGCAAAAGGGAGCAAGAGAGAGAGGGGCAATGAAAGGCTTGATTCTCCTTACACCTTTTGTTGTGTCACTTCTGAGAAGAAAGAGAAGGGCCAAATGCGTCGTCAGGACCCTTCCTTCAGATCCTGCACCTGATGGAGGAGACAGATTTGCGTAGCGCGAGATTTGAGGGTAAATATTTGCTCGAGCTGAAGAGGAATGGCAAGCAAGGCTATGGTTGCACAAGGAACGAGACAAAAGCTGCTGTTGGTCTGAAGCTTTTTGCAAATAAAGTGTCTATCTCTGCTTCATCAGGAAAAGGAATTCCTCTCCACCGAGCCTCCACCTTAATAGAAATGTCGGGCGTCAGTACATTTGGAGAGTTATCTCCGTCCTTCCTTATCTTTCCTTTACCCGACAACCTAAACACTTAGTATCGCTTTCATCTCCCTTCCTAAAGCTATACGTCTACAGCATCAGCAGCGTATCGCCAGGCCAATAACAGCCTTCCTCTCTGTTTTCCGATCACGATAATAAGCGGTTTCCCTCATTGGAAGATTATGGCTTGAGGAAATAGCGTCAAATAGCGGGTGTGTTGAAACGCAAGACACCGGCAATTTATGGGATGTCAAACACACGTGTGGGCAAGCCGGAAGATCAGAGCAAGCGCCCCCCAGTCGATACTTTAGCCCGGGGGGGGGTGCGACTCCTTCCGACCCAGTTGGTTTAGGACAATCTGGGGTCAGGGCTGGCGTCCCTCAGGGTGCGGGTACGGGGCCTCCTGGACTTGTGGAAGGCACACATTTGAAGCACGCATGCATACAGTCACACCCTCAGGTGTTGAGTATTGTCACTATCTGTCTCTCCTGAGTATTGTGTGTGAGTGTGTGTGTCTCTATCTGTGACACTTCCACTCCCCCCCCCCCCCTCTCCACAGTCAGATCGGCAGCCCGCTCATCATTGCAGCCTGGCTGTGTTTCTAATTGACATTCTAATTGGCAGATTTGAATGCCGCCTTTAGATGGCTAATTAATTTATCTCACCGCTGTCATTAAGGTTAAAGCACCATCTGATCTCTGCGAATATACTTTGCATATATCTGCATTATCATTATTCTGCAGTTAGACATATTGCACAGATTTTTTTTTTTTCGGAGGAGGAGGGCGATAAGATTATCAGATTAAGCGAGGGTGGGGGGCTTTTATTGTTTGTGTGTTAAATCCAAGTTATGCTTCTTTCTTTTTTTTACCGTGATGTCTCCTTTCTTAATTGTACCTCTCTATTTTACGATATCAATGTTTAATAATCCAAGCACATTAAAAGCAGGTTGGTTAATATCGAAGTAGCAATTTCCCTCGGACTTCCGGAGTAGTTTGCATTCAGATGTTATTAAAAATCCTTATTTCCTTGTCTCATATATCTTCAAGTTTTCCGAATATCCATCGCTCGTCCAGGAAAGAAAGGAAGAAAGAAAGCGGGAAAAAAAAATCCAGGCTCCATTAGAATGTTCATAAAATTGTATTAAAGGCAATCAGACAGTCTTTCTCTGAATATTTTAAACATTGGGCATGTAAAATGTATGCCTAATTTGAATACTTATTAGCCGGCTGATCTCGGCTGCAGCCTTGAGTTTCTTATGCTGAGATTCATCACCGGATTGGTTGTCACATTGTGCCAGTCTTCCCCCTCTCCCTCCCACTCACTTTCTCTCTCTTTCACTCTTTTCATCTGTCTCCCTCCGTCACCCCCCACCTTCTCTCTGCTCCTCTCTTTTTTTCCCTTCTTTTTTTCCTGTGTGTCTCTCTCCATCAGTAGTGAGCGGTGTTTAACAGGGGCCTGTTTGTTCACAAGCACGCCTTGTACCGGCCTCTTCCTTATTTACTCGTGTCCCGGGCAGCTGTCGCCCTGCTCTGTGTAACAGCTCAGCCCTGTTTGTTCTCCCCGCCTGGATCCTGTTTATCCTGGCTGTGGACATCCTTTAAGGCCTGTCCTGTATCTGCCCCTCGTCAAACACACACACACACACACACACACACACACACACACACACACACACACACACACACACACACACACACACACACACACACACACACACACACACACACACACACACACACACACACACACACACACACACACACACACACACACACACACACACACACACACACACACACACACACGGGTCCACAGTCTCTTTGACCAGGTACACACACTCACACACAGGTCCACAGCCTCTTTGACCAGGTGAACACACTCACTCACAC